GATGATGATGATGATGATGATGATGATGATGATGATGATGATGATGATGATGATGATGATGAAACCCACTGGAAAAAGAGATGTGAACAAAATTGGATGATTTGGTAAACGTCAGTGGTCCCAACCATTGGAATCAAAATCTGAACTCTGAACAAACTATTATCGCACTCCAGCAGGCTTTGATCAAGGGGATCAAGTCTTGGAAGGGCTCAGTCGCCTGTCACATGCTTGCACTGCTCGCCTTAGCCTTACAAGCTCCAAGAGAAACAGCTGCTGAGGACCCCTTACGGAGAGGTCCTTCGAGACCTGGCAGCAAAATGTCCAAACCTACCCCAACAAGAAATCTCATGGAAAAGGGGGGGAAGTCATTCATGGAGGAAAGCCGTGCTTGCAGTTTGAGGGCTTGGTGTGCTGATCAAGCAGTTCCAGGGCCACAGCCGGCTACAGCACCTACAACGGGGGCACCCCGAACACATCCCCGCCGAATGTTGCGCCTGGGCAGCGGCGCATCTTGCTGGAGCCAGCGCTGAATCTCCAGGGCGTCGAATCCCACCTCCGTGAGGCCTGGACCCCGAAGGCTCCGAACCCGGCGAAACGCGGGCTGCAACCGAGGGCTGTGGAGCTTTTCGGGCATTTCTGGGGAAGAGCCTCGGAGCTATGGTGGTGTTCTTCCAATACGCCACCCACAGGGCGAGACAAGACACACAGAGCAGCCGAGGGAGGCGGTGGAGTGCTGAAGACCTGGATGCCGCAACTTGTCCGTGAGCCCCAGGTCCACGACCCATTCGTGTTTTTGGGCTCATGCCTGCTACGGTCAAGAGTAGGACAAGCCCCTGCTATTGATGTTGGAAACACCTTCCAACACTGGAAACCAACAAAGACAGCTTTGGGCAAAAGATACGGCATGCCTGTGTACAAATTACCTATCCCCTTGTAAGGCTTCAGTTGAAGCACATGTGTTGCCGCAACATTTTGTCCTCAGAGTGCCAAACACGCGAACCTCTAAAATTCAACACAGCTAAGACAAGGGCCTGCTCATCGCAAGATTCACAGGCATTTCCTTCTCGACACATTGTCACGCCTTGTAGACAACGTCGAATACGGTCATTTCCGCCATTCTGCACCTGTCATTGGTGCCATAGTCAGCACATCTCATGACCAAAGCACACACAGCTGCAGGCCCGGTTGGTTTCTGTGCCTTCCATATGGGGGCTTTCGTTTGGGATGGTCAATCAGCCGCTACTCCACAGACGCTCAGCTTCTGTAGATCTGCTTCGTTTGGCACCATGACGCTCAGCTTCTGCTTGAAGGCCACTTTGTCGCCCCTCTGCAAGTCAGGAACCACCAGCGCGAGGTCCTCTGTCGCTCTTCACCGCGTGGACACGATGCTCGGTCGACCGCTTGGTCGGCACTTCCAAACGGGTTTGTCCAGTGATCCAGCGAAAGTGACAAGACTACTGCGGACTACTTCAGTTCGCTTCGATGTGCTTCCTACCTACATTGCCTGCCAACTCGGATTTCAACCCCTTTTCTCCTGCTGATCCTGGGGGCTCAGCTCTTGTAGACGCTGCCGGAGCTCCACCTGTCAGTGGTGAGAGGAACCGAGCAACATGCAAAGCGTTGCTGTTCAGTTGAACTGTGTTGAACTACCTTCAGTGTCCGACATTCGTTGCATCGACTTGACAACTCCAAAGCCCACTGGGATTTGTTTAAAACAGAACATCTTTAGAAATATGGGTCTTCTGCACTGCAGAAAGAGAAGAATAAACAAGGCCAAGACACATGATGAACATTCAGTTTGGTGGAGAAGCTTTCCAAACTCTTGCGCATTCAAATCATGCGAAGTGGCCTGTCCCGGCAGGCCAAGCTGCGTTGTGCCAGTCTCCAGAGCATTTGCACCTACACCGGCGTCGAAAAATGCAGGTGTCCAAAAATGCCAACACCCCCAACGACACTTTGGTCCATCCTTACTGTTGACTTGTGAGTCATCACAATCAAAGCCCATGCTTATTCAGGAAGGTGGCAGTAAGTCAACAACAAAAGGCTTCGGAAACCATTGGAAATCATGTCCAATATTTTTCTTAATCCTATTTCTATGCATTTTCAGTTTGGACAAAGCAATTCTGTTCATTCTGTTCAACGGTTGTCGACTGGATTTCTGCCAAAGGACAGGTGAACGTGCTTTTCTGATGGTCTCCAAGTCGCATGCCTTTGGGTGTACAGTGCCTTCTGTGCAGTCGCCGACCTCTTGTTCCGGCGTTGAGCCGCTGACCGTCACCGCACTCACCGACCGCACGGGGCCATGCGCGAGGCCAACAAACGCGGCGATGCGGAACAAACGCGGCGATGTCCATCAAGTCCTTTTCGGAAAATTAAAAGCTTCTTGATACTACTAGTAAGGCACCTGTTACTACTAGCGTGGCACTTGTAATTACTAGCAAAGGAAGGTGAGATCTTTGGGGGTTGAGATCTGCTTCAAACAAAACCATGATCATACGGAACACAACTCTCATTTATCGAGTGCTGTTCAAAGCCAGATGTCAAGGAATATGTCACACTTCGGTTTTGAAATGAACTGTTGGGGAACAATCTAACACTTTGCTTTCCACCAATATTCCGACGTCAATTCGACACCCAGTTGCCTAGCAGGGCCAGGCACACTGCGCCGAAGCGCAGCATTGGCCTTGTATCGGCAGGTTCCAAACGGGTACAGAGATCCCATCCCCTGCATGGAAATCCTTGCAAGCGGGAGCCTAAATCTACTAAAGCGGAAAAAAAAGGGAATGTTTCTGTGGCCCTGATCTGCCCGGATCTTAACGGAGCGACCTCGGGCCAGGGAATGGGTTATGACTCGCGGTGAGCAGGCAACCTCCTTCTCTCATAACTAGACACATTCGTGGCCGACCAAAATCGTCACTTTTTCACCACAGTCCCAGTCACTTCGACTAAGCTAAAATCACAGGGAACCCTTTGTTCAAAGGCTTTGTGATCACCACTCCGATCGGTCAGTTATTGCCCCACAGCTCGAATGACTCATCCTTCCCGTCGTTCCGTCAGCTGTCAACCTGGGGACATGAAGAACCAAATGTCCAAACCCCCAAAAGCCTCTGCGTCCTTGAGAACGATTTGGCCCTTCACTTTCAATTCCAAGCCATTTGTCACAACATGTCACAACATTATTGTCACACATTCCACTCAGTTCAAATGCCAAACGCCCCATTCCCTCCAACTCTTGCAAGACATGGCCTTGGTGAGCCAGGGCCTTCACTGCATTGAGTTTGAGCCACGTAACGGCTCTTTAATCGATGGCACAGGCTGGGGCCCAACATAACTTGGAGGATGTGTGGATGGGTAGATTTGTTTCCAGAAATGCCGGACATGTTTCCTCATATGTGTCCCATCCATTTGGGATCCATACACCAAACCATCGAAGGTCCACTTACCTGCCAATGGGTCAACAATCCATCCCATGGACATGTTTGCGTTTGTGTCTTTCCGCGTTTCGAAAAGATCCGGTCCAAAAACCAAACACCAGAGTGTATTCAAAAGTTTTTGGATGTGGATTCTGATTGGAGGTCGCAAGTTAATGTTCGTCGCCCGGGCAAAAGTGGTTCGTGGCACTGTGAAAATGGATCAAAGCACTGCTGCTTCACCAAGGAAAATATTGAGGACCAAGTTTGCCATGTGATGCCATGTGTTTGTTCCGGTGATGTCCACGTTGAAAGGCTGCCAATGGTGAGCATGCGTGATGGGGACATCGACATACTCGGAGTTCAAATCCAGCAAAAGTTGTAGGTTTTCACTGGCAAAATTAAAACATGCACATATATTTGTGATAAGGACAATCAAAATCACGCAAGATGGATTGCTCTAAAAAGTGGAGGCGCATATATATATATATTATGAAAGCACGGAAGTGGAAACTCGTGTTAGCATCGCGACCGCACGAAGTGTCGGGATGGAAAGGTGAAATGTGAATCGGTCTTTTTGGACACGTGCGTAGCGTGCGTGTGGTTCAAGGGGCCCCTGTCGGGCACAGGGAAGCCGAAAGGCAGCAACCGGCGAGGTCAAAAGCTGCTCAAACATGGCTCACATGATTGTACGGCGTACAAATCCACACCGGTGGTGGTTCAGTAAGTACGCCAGAACTCAAGGGCTTTCTGGCTGCAAAAGGCACAGCAGTTCCACTGCTTCAGCTGCGGCGCATCGGCCGTTGCCAAAGCTTGACAGTCAGGATGGGTGTGGTAGGACTTGCCGGTCCTGGTCGTGATGACCGCATCAGGGATCCAGTTTCTGGAGAGCTGGTCACGAACCGCAGCTAAGCGGTTGTGTGCATCGATCCAGTTGTCGCGGGCTTTCTTGTACTCGGTGTCGATCTCGCGCATCTCAATCCTCATGTACTCTCGGATGTCGATGAGCTGTTCAATTTCTTCTTCTTGCGCCGTGCATTGGGTTTGGAGATCAAATAGTTCAGCTTCTTGGTCTCTCACGATGTCTTGCAGCCGCAGGTTCTCGGTGCGGAGAACACCAAAGGAAGTCTCGGGCTCCTTCTCGGTCTGTGTCTCAGCTGTAGTAGAGCTCGTGGTTTTTTTGCACGGGTCGAGGCGCTATGTGCGCAGAGGATGCACAAGTCACCTGTAAAAGAGAGATACGAACCAAGCAAGAAACAGAAAACAGAGAAAGCCACACCAAACAACAAAAACCAAAAACCCACACCAAAACCGAAGGCAAGGTTCGTACCTCAGGACGGCTGTGTCAGCCAGAAGAAAAGGTGAGACAAGGTGAGACAAGGGGCAATGAATTCATCCTTTGCGCTCAGTACATCATCATCAGGTCCGTATCTACTTTCCACTCAAGAGAGGAAAAATGACTGCCCCTCGGCTTTCGAGACCTTTCGAGACCTTTCGAGATCTGCTGCAATCTTCGCGCGATGAGGCATGGAGCCAGACATCAATCATCAAAAAGGGGGGCTTCATCAAACAGAGCACGGTGTTGCAAGGCATGAGTTGCAAGTTTGCATAGAAAACGGTCAGACAGCAGGGATCCAACGCAACCGTCATCATCATCACGAAAGTCAAAGCGAATGTTGCAGCGAATGTTGCAGACCATGCAAGACACATGCGGCTCAGGGAAAACAACTGTATCAGCAGTCGAAGACTTCAAATCATCGAAAGCATGAGACAGTGGAGCCATGAAGGCAAGGGTTGGGAGGCGCTAGCAAGCACAGTCCTGGCAGGCCAGACTCACCCCCCCCCCGAGGGAGGGGGAGCGGCAAACTTGCACATCCACGTTGCGACGGTGACTCCTCGAACAGCTTTGCCATGGGAGCCACAGGAAGGCGAAATTTTCAAACCGCTCACTCGGAGCCGAGTTGAGCTGTCGACTGGCGCAGTGGCAACAAGTGTTGAGCATCCATTGGCGCCTTGCAGGTGCGCCACCTTTGTGCATTCTTGAAACGTGCAAGCCCCATGAACTACGTGAAACCGGGTGAAACGCCGTTATCCTATGTCTTGTTTGCTATACAGTCTGTACTCTGTGTACTCATCCAGGACTACCACTAGGGTGGCAGCCTGGGCACTGTCTAGCCACTCAGCGTCGCTGTACAGTAGGTCCTAAGGCATTGGTCTCGGCGTATGGCCCTCTCCACGTTGTTCTGGTTTCTGCTTTGTGAAATTGGCAAAGTTGCGTGCGTCCTGCAAATGCTTGTTGAGCAATGTACAGCAACGCTGGCGGGGTGTGCACCCCGCGCAACGAAGTGCATTTCAGAAAGCCTTCTCGCCCAATCCTCCGCAGCTTCTTGGCATGACTGAGTTGCAGCAATTGCGAGCAGTGTGCAAAAGTGGGCCCCAAAATCTCACTGATATCTGTCCGGGAGAGGTCAACTAGTTGCAGCCGTGCGCAATGCTCGCAAGCGGCGGGTCCTATCCATGTGAAATCTGACGGCAGATACAACGAGACAATCCCAGCCTCCAAGAAACAGCACTCAGGCAGGCATCTTGTTAGGTTAGCAGGGTCATACTCAGCTTTCTCGAAGCTGATTTGTCGCAGTGCAGTGCATTTCTCAAAGGCTCGCGGCCGAAATTGTGCCTGAGGAGCTAATTGATTAGTTGCATCACTATTGACTCCTATTTGCACTAGGGAGCAACGTTCCTCGAATACCCTAATTCCGAACTGCTTGCACCCTGGGGCCAGGACCGTTCTGAGCGCATAGCTTCTTCGAAAAACACCATCTTGAAGGCAGACTACCGTGCTCGGCAGCTGAACCACTTGGAGTCGCAGACAACTCTGCCAGGCAGCCTCACCAATGATGCGAATGCCTGCTTCCACCTGCACACGCCTGACATCCGTGATGTGCGAGAATGCATGTGGCAGTACTCGGCCAGTACTGTTAGACCGGACCCTAATTGCTTTAACCCTGCTCTTCAGCTGCCCTGGGCAAAACACTGCCGAACAATCAGGTTAAAGCAGTTGTTTCTCGCAAAGTGTCCCAAATAGGGTCCGCTAAAATTTTTCGGTTGTCCTTATGTACAAAGTCAAGCTCACAACCAAAGGTGCTGCGTTCTCCTATGTACGGGAGATTCTCTAGAACAGCATTTTCGAACTCATTGAGCCTATCAAATTCCTGTAGTTCTATCGACAGTTGAATTTCATCACCAGCAAAGGTGATCAAGATGAGATGCAGGGCCAGTGATCGCTCTTCGCTCACCAGCGAGCTGCCTTGTCCGTAGCCCTTTGGCTCAAGGTATCGGAGCAGTTTCCGGACGGAGTGGAGTCAGCCTCAGCTGAAAACACTCTGTTTGCACCTAACTAAGTTCGCGCCTGTCTGTGCGTCTGCCAACCTTAGTTCGTGGAGACTGCACGAGCCTTTTCGAACTAGGTGTCAAGAATGTATCAGGATCCCTGGGAGATGACTTCCACTCCATCTTCGGTCACTGCACAGTTTGACATGGAAGACAACCCTCTGGACCTGCAAAATAGCATGGATGCTTTCACGCAGGAAGCGGCTGATTGGATTTCAGAAGCCGACCGCACCATTTTCGTACAGGGAACTCAGGAGGCTGACTCAAAGGCCAAAGATGATGCCTATGCAGCCTTGGCCATGCCAGATCAACTGAGTAGTCCATTTGGCCTAGATTCTGCACAGCCTACAGTCTTGCTGGCTGATGTTCGTGCACAACCCCCTAACCAAGACCATGGTTATGACAAGGAAGGGACTGATGGGGACCTCCCTGACATGACAGCCATCATACATGCGTTGATGCTGCAAAGTGAACTTATCACTCGCAATCAGATGATCTACCTTATAGTCGACAATCGTAAGCCTAACGCAGTCCCGCATTGGCCAGCATTTGCTGCGTGGTGGGCCTCGCGTCGATGTCTAGTTGGTCCACAGGAAGAGGCCACTGATGTGCTTTGGATTTGCGCCGATAGGTCCACAGGTCTCAGAAGAGTACCCTATTATTGGGCAGGAGTTTTTGTACTAGATGCTGCTCGTTTCTTGTACCCCAAACAGCACTTCGCACTCATTGACAATGATTGCGTACCTGTCACACTGTTTGAAGTGTAAGATCTGATTGAGCTGGCCCATCAACAGCTACAATGGGTCGACCTAGTTGGGTATGCACGTACTGGATCCGGTCCTTCCCATGGAATAGGTATGTTGCTCTTTGCAGAGGCACACTTAGAGTATGATGCAGGTTTGGTCATTTAGGCGTAGCCCGCTTGAGAGAAAGCCTACTTCAGCCACGCTGGCAAAAGAACTCCAAGACTATCGATTAACCCCAGTTTCCAGGGCCCGACCGCCAGTCACTCCGAGCACCATGTTTACTCCCTTTGCAGGGGTTCCCATGCAGAATGTCCTGGACCTTTGTGTTGTTTGGTCACTGTATGGGTTATACATGTGCAAGAATTTTTGGCCTTGCCCAACGTCAAACCCTGCCCAGACTGGAGCCAGCGGGCCTATCAAGTGGCCACGACAATCCCACCCTCAGGCACTTACTCCTGCTGGGCAGCAGCGCACTCCATGGCTCACCAGCTGGGCCAGAGCCACTTTCGAGCAGGGGATTTTGTCTGTGCTCCCACTATTAGAAGGCCCATGCACAGCCACATCACTGCCAGGGGAGCAATTGTTCCAAGCCAGTTCGTTGTCAAGCGATCGCATGAGACCTGCCATCTTTCATGCTTTTGGTAAAGCCAAAATAGGAGCGCCAAAAGCTTTGCGTGACCTTGAGCAACAAGGCCGGGAAACGTTGCCTTTGGCCATCTTGGGCACGCCAAGCCTTCCACCGGCTTGGAGTGCTGATAACTGGAAACCAATAGGGGGGTGCAAGTTCACGGGATACTGCCCCGGTATAGTAGGTAACAAGACTAGCACCCATGTGTTGGTCCTGAGAGTGCCACTCCATTTCAATTTGCTCTTCACCTTTGCTAGCCTGAGTAGCTAGACAGTGCCCAGGCTGCTACCCGTGTAGCGGCACTGGATGAGTACAGTGTACAGACTCAGGAAAGCGGCGTCTCACCTCGTCTCACCTATTTTCGTGTAGTTCATGGGGTTTTGCACGTGTCGGCCGATATCTACCTGGCCGCGTTTGAAAGGAAATGTCAGATACCTGACGGCAGTATCACTGAGAGGAAGAATGCACACCTTTTGCTGCCCGTAGGAGCTTTCTCGCCCTGCTCCCGTTGCTGAGCCGGTTTGGAGTCGGGGCGAGGACAATGCGCTCCCTCTGTAGCCTCCTCCCCCCTTGCTTTTCGCTATTTTGGAAATTCCGATCGCAAGTGCAGTGGTCTTCCTCTAGTTGCCACATCATGCCAACTGTGAGCCCCTGATCACCGGGTGCGCAAAGCAGTCCAGCTGTCAATCAGTGGGTCCAATTTTGATATTGGAGGACCTGCTATTGACAAGACAGTGCTCAGGTTATGCAGTAATGCCTTCAAGGGCCTTTGCTAAGCTCTCATGGACACACTCTTCATCGCCTTTGCCTGCAGTATGTCGTTTCGTTATGCCCTGTGCCATCAGAACAAGATGACCCACACACTTACGAGGCTCTTACGAGGCACTTACGAGTTTGTTGAAGGACAAGATATACTGAGCGCATTGCGGAATTCATTGCCCCTGTCTCACCCTCACTCTCTATCTCTGCAAGACCACAAGAGTTGCGTAACAGGTTGTTTCCTGGGTTTGGTGTTCTTTTGGGGGTCGTGGTTTTTTGGTTTTCTGGTTGCGGCGTGGGGGTTTTCTTGTTTTGCCTCTTTGTTGGAGTGCAACCTGGACAGCAGCAACTCTCTCTTAACTCGACTAAGGTGACTTGTGCAGAACCTGCACACATAGCGCCTCGACTCGTGCAAAAAAAAACACCACACATGCAAGAGAGCTGCCCCAACAGCAAGATAAGTCATCAGATGAAATTGTGAATCTGGAAGGCGCCTGCCCAAGCAGCTGTCCTTTGATCCACACTGAGGAGTCCGTCGCACCCGCGCCTCCTGTCCCAAAAGGCATCAGACGGCGATGGAAGCAAGAGCCGCCTGAATGCACCTCGGCTCCCCAACGGGAGTAGACGGGCAAATCCGTAGCCATTTGGCTCAAGTTTTCGGTTCAAACTCACCTAACAGGTGAGCAGGAGGTTCAAGGAACTCTCTTAAAGAGAAGAGACTTCCTCTGTAGCTTGTTGGAACCCCCTTAGTTGCTTAGCGGCCTGTGCTTTCGGCATTTTGGCTCTAGTGGTATCCCAAGATACTGCTATTGCACATTGTTTGCGTCTCTCGCCTCGCCTAGCCTAGACGGCAATCCAAGTTGTTGTCTGTGGCATTTCGGTTCTTCTTTTGCTATGTTAGATAAGGAAGCCTTCTGTCTTATTGCGCAGGCCATTTATGATGATCTACTTTTGTCCTTTGTTGGACAAGGATCGCTTAGAAGACATCTTGTACAGCCTACCGTTGCCACACACAAATTTTTTTTCGTTTGCCGCTTTCCGAGTGCCATCAACACATCCCACTATCATGAAGATCTGAAAGTTATTAGTGAGGATGAAATGGGAATCCTGCAGTCTGCATTGGCAGGCACCCAGTCAGTCTCTGTTGTCTTATTTCAAGTTCAGACGCATTTCCAGAAGAATGTCCTACAACTATACCATGAAGCTGATAAGCTTTCTTATGTGTGTCTCTTCCATGAATGTTTTTGTCAATGCTACGTGTGTTGACTTAGTCACTGCAGTCTGTTCTTCGCTTCGCAGACACCTATCCCGAGTGCATTGTATTTCTAAGTACCAAGATTTTACTTACTCGCCGGATGGTAACAAGCAAAAAACTACCAAAAGCATCTATTTTGTTATCTTTCACTCCTCTTTCACTACGGGAAGCATTGAGGTCATATCGCCCTGCATCGAATACTCAGAAACATGGTTACGCAACAGTACTGTGCTCACCCCCAAAATTCATGAAGAAATCAAATCGATCCCTGAGGTCTTTCGCTTTCGTTTGTATACGAATACTGTCCCTGTTCAGACAACGCTTGGGGTCACTGATAGAAGTTGTATCTCTTTCTGCATTTCACCAACGAAGGCGGACTACAGTTCTAGTAGTCTTGAGCAAATTTACCAACTCCTCAGAAACGAGACCGACGATTGTGATAAACAAGAACTGCAAAGAATCATACCTCTCATTTGGGTAGGTAGCCAGCATGCAGTCCCTAGTTTCTTTCTGCGCCAATTTGTCACTTTCGTCGACTGTCGAAGATACTCGAAACAACCTCATAGCGTTGCCCTGTGTAAAATTCAAGAAATCCTTCTATCCATGGACATTTATTATCATTTCCAAAAAAGATCCATCTTAATCATTTATGCGGCAGGAGCTACTCTGGAAGCTTTTAGACAGGCTATCTTTCATGCTGACATCATACTCCCTTTTGGAAGGGAAGAAGGTTGCTTTCAGTGTAAGTTTGAACCAGGTCCTATTCAAGACTCATGGCATGTTGAACTTCAAACGGCTGGCAGTACCAATTACGAGGCATATCAAATAGAAGATGACGGCACCTTTACGACAAAGGATGGAGGCGTACAAGCAGGCCTCTCCACGTATTTGTCACACACCTTTGATGCAGTTAGTATTCGTGTTGCGGTTGTCCATGTGCAGGGAAAGAGTCAACAGAAGGTTGTTACTTTTCTTGCTAGTTCTAACATCTTACCGCATATTCCCGGCGTCATCAAGGACCACCAAGGAAATGATCGGTTACTTTATTACAAGCAGCCCAAGGTTATTGCTGATGCCCCCTTTTCGAACATACATGTGAAAGAAAATCGGATCGATCATCATGTCATTTCGCAAATCAAAGGGTCAAACCAAGGTGCCAAGCTCAGTGCCTTCCTTCCAATTCGGCGCAGTGACCTTTCGCGGAAAAGGTTCAATAGAGTCAAACAGAGCAACCTATACATCAATCAGCATGATGTTCTGTGTACTATTCTTGATGAAGCTGTGCCCATTTGTTTAGTCAATCATGACTTAACGATTCAGGATGCAATTACTTTACTTGATCTCTTGCTTCATCGGAAACCAATTCTGGATCATCATTCAACCTTCCTTGCTTGTCCTCTCAACAAGCCTACTGTTGAAGAGCAAAAAAGTAGTTCTGAATGCGACACTATCGTTCTACCACCACAGGCTGGAATAGTCCATTGCCACCTCCGGAGTAATCAAGTGCTTACAGTATTTCAGCCTAGATTTGAGGATGGTGTTGTTTATCGATGTACGCGCAATGGCTTGCAACTGTCAGTATGCGAGCGCACAGATCTGATCCTCTTCCTCACAGGACAGATCAACATCTTTGACCTGTTCCAACCGGCACCAAAAGGTCGTGTTGTTGCTACATGGCATGCAGACCTTGATGGCTTGACTGCCAAGCATGCAGATCACTCCAGTTTCTCTCATGAAATAGAGAAACGAAATCCTGCTAGGTCGAGAAAACTCACCTCGCCTGCTCAACCTAGCCATTTCGGTGCCTCAGAGATTTATACGCCTTCTCAACCTTCGGCTCCTGCCACTCAAGATACACCACATAGTCAGATTGATAGCCCCGAAGAGTCCAAAGCTCAAAAAGATGTCGGCAAACACCTATCTCCACAAAACCCGCAAGGTGCTGAAACCTCCTCGACCGTTACGATCAACAAGCGCCTCCAAGACACGCTCGATGCATTGGTCCGAAAAGTACCCATCCCTAAACTTCCCAGCACTGGCGATGCTAGCAACGAGCGTACAAAACCAAAAGACCTCGATGACGATCTTCGAAAGCAACAAAACGCATTTCGTGGCAAGAGTAATCTCCAAGCCGCGCTCCTGCGAAATAATGAAAACGGCGATCAACAGATTATCAGCCCTGCTGTTAACCCTGCTCTCCCAAAGCAGCAAGAACTTCATTTTGCTGCTGCTACCGTTCCCGTGCCACAGACTAACCAAGACTCTAACGGAGACTGTCACATGCAGGGAGATTACAAAGTTCTGAAATATTTTGAGCAAGAAGTACCTTCGATTGAACAACCCCCATCTATAGAGGCCCAAGATCCTGCTGAGTTATCTGTTGTTACTCCGTCTCCACTTACAGTGATCGACGCTAGCTCAACACTGGAAGAATCGCAAGAGTTAAAACTCATAGTCGAGCTAGATAAACAGCTCGTTAATCATTCACCTGCAGTTCATCAGTCTTCAGCCTTACCTACAGCCAATACACCTGGTAGTCAAGAAATTGATGCTCGGCTTGACTCCAACCTCATCCAGGAAATCCACATGCCAGAGGTTGAATCTGCTGCGGCCCTTGCAGATCAGGTTACTGTGCAGAGCATTCGAGAAGCAGAAGACAATGCTGTCGATATCATTGAAGAAAACTCCTTAGTTGGTGGTACTGCTCCTACTCCGAGTGGTAATGCTACAAGAAGTAATATCAAGGCTCCTGGGGGGTCATCTGGCCAAGTAGGCCCGATCACTTCCCTCTCATTTGCAGAACGAAGGCAGCTTGCGCACATGCATGCCCTTAAGCAAATTGTCTCCTTGGATGTCTCACTTACCAACATGGCCTTTGATGAACAAGATTACAGGCAAGCCGCTACCATTTATGACAACCTCAATTCTACAGCCTGCTTCTACACAACTGCATTGAGGCTACTCTCTAAATCGGATTGGAGTATGCAAGTTGAGTTTGAAGACCACATTGTCCATCAAGCCATGAAAGCTGTCGCTCATGGATGGACTACTGCCATTAACTTGCGCAATCACAATTTTGGGCCTTTTCACTTAGCACTTGCGATGTGTACTCTCCCAGAACAAGTACATGGGGAAGTACAACGTACCTTCGACTCCGTTGCTATCAACCTCCCTGAGCCGTTCTTGCAGAAAACCTGCTCATCAGTCACCTTTCACTGTCGTGTTTGCGGAGCTAGTTCATCTCAATTTGCGTCGACCTTTTTTGTTCTGCAACCACTTCCACAGGGAGCACTTGGACACGACTATTTCAACTCTGCATTGCCATGGTCAGACAAATTGTTGCCTAGCGCTACCGAAAGTAGGCAGCAACGCTGCAACGATTGTGCTTCCTCCAGCGACTTTACAGTTAAAATTTGTGCCACTAGCCGTTTGGTATGGCTGCAATATCCAAGGGCTTCCCACCCACAAGCAAATACTTACGCGAGTTTCCTGGGAAAAGATCCCTTATTCTCTGGTGGGTGCTCCTGGCAATGTGTTGCGTTGATAATACATCAGGGTAATGATCCCTTGAATGGCGAACAACAACCTGCTGAGCACTTTTACATTTTAGAAAACGAAGGACCGAAATGCAAATTCCTGTGTTACAACAATGCAGTTGGGCTACACTATATCGATGACGCTAAAATCAAAGATGGGGACCGTATTTGTGGCTTCTTCTTTCGTGCTCCAGATATTGCCACCAAATGGTCTGGACAATGTTACCCATGCTGTGAAGAAAACCAAAAATCCTCCTATTCGGAGACCTGGTCTAAGTAAGAGGTCCAAGACCAGTGGAACAGTAAAAACCCTCTGAACCCCAGGAGGAAAGGCACTTCCAAGAAACAAGACTCTCTACCGGCCACTCACCAAACTACTCAGGCACCTGTCGTTAATACAGTGCTGAACATTGCGTTTCTTGAAACGTATGGGCCCCCTCCTGATGATGCTACTACTGTTCCAGCAGAAACGATACAGATTATTGAAAATGAAATCTCGCAATTCAGTGAGGCGCCTCAAGCAGTCCTCACTGCTCCGAATGGTGGCGGTGACCCAAGTCACTGTCCCTCTTTGGTTGTTAGATCATCTCAGTGGCATCCTTCCACCACTAGTCGCCCAGGTCCTTATACTGTCGATCCACAAAATAATGGGAGTGTAGATTCGCAATCCAAATCTCTTCCCAAGAACGCTTCCTCTAGTGTCACACAAAAAGGTCCGTATGCCATCCTAAGTATGTTTGACGGATGTGGATCCTCGGTTGATATCATTGAAGCCAAATTCGGATATAGGCCAAAAGTATGTATTCTATGTGAAAAAGATGAAACATTGAGGTACTTAGTTGGCGAAAAGCATGGAATCACTGTCGATCAACGATGGCAGCACAGTCTTAAAGGGGGTGGAGCCTTTTACTATGCCAAAGATGTAGACACCTTGTTTGTTGACAATGCTCGGCTCCTTCGAGAATTCGTTGCGCTAGAAGCGGATTGCCACTTCTCTATTATTGGCGGCAGCCCGTGCACTGATCTCACATTTGCAGGAGAGGATCAAGGTCACCTTGGGATATGCGGGCCAGCCAGCGTCCTATTCTTCACCATGCACCTAGCCATACACCTGCTTGCCACTGTTATTCCAGGAGACCGCATTCGTTTTTGGTTGAAAACGCTGGCTCCATGCGCAATGAGCATTTTTGCTTCATTCGTGCGTGTCTAGGACTTCGACACGTGCCAAAGGCAAATCTCACATGGTGTACCTCTCTTATTTCTCCTGCTAAAAGGCTCCGCGTCTTTTTTCAAAACAACACCTCGCATGAGGGTCCTGATATGCAAGTCATCCCGATAGCTGATTTAGAGTGGACCCAAGATTGGAGCCACCTTCTTCGATTTGAACGGGGTACGCTAAGGGAAGTCCCCTTACAACCTTTCATGAGACCAATAGCAGTCCTCAGTGACCTCGCATTGCGATACAGTTGGTCTAGTTATCATCCGTCGGCGTTATTATGGCGCATCTCCCACTGGCACACTAAAGAAAGCTTTGCAATGATAGCAAATCTCTCCTCGGACAATGGAATACCAAATTTCCAGTGGAACTCAATCATTCCACCGATCTATCGTACGGCATGGAGGTATCTTCTCAAGTGTTTTGCCACAGGAGCGCCTAATTCTGAGAAAGATGCTGCCCTACGCGATGTCCTCCCGCTTTTTCACAACAGCAGTATTCATTTGCCCTTTCGGCTTTTGACGGATCAAGAAGTCTTGCAGGTCTCAGGGTTGAGTCGGAATTTTGAAAGCATTGTGCATCTCAAACATCTGCTTACGCCGCATACCATGCTGCAAAGCTTATTTTGATCCACAAGCGCCTATGCGGTATGTAAACATATCATCATGTACATATGCATCCAATGCTCTATACAGTGACATGTACAAATCGGGTCAAATTCTTTCACCCCGCCTCCACATAGCATGGTCTTCAAATGCTAATGTGGAAGAAACAATTGGTCAATCAGAGTTTCATCAAAACTCACACGGCAACGGGCCATTGACCATTCACAAATTAAGTCTAAATTGCTAGTAATGTCGCTCGATCCAACCATCAGGATCACTTGCCTGACTCAAAGTCGAGACATCATCCCTGCGCTCACTTTCGGTCTCATTGTCTTCAGCCTCTTCCATGGCGTCATCACGCCTTTCTAGCTCAGAAGACGATGGGGAGATGTCACTGATATTCAGCATCATATCGAGAGCGCGGCGCCTCACTCCAGCATTGCGCTCGTTCTCCACGCAGGTCTGCAAAAGAGAACACAGGACGGAGTGTTGGCCCCAAAGCCTGTTGCGCACTGTCTCGTTTCCTCGAATATCAGCTCTGTTCAACCTTCTGCAAATACGATTGGTCATAAATTCGATCAAAGCTTCCGGGCTCCACTCTGCAAATGGTGCAGGAGCTTGATCTTCAGGAAGATCCATTGCAGAGATTGGTTCATCATCACTCACTCTCTGCAGACTGGGAGGTCTGCAGCTCAGGATCATGTTCGCTCGCACGGAACATAGGAAAATATTTCTTCCAAGCCAAGACACATACGAAGCAAAGCAAAACAGCTAGCACCTAGGCACAAATGCCAGGCCAGAACAAGGAGCTCCCATCTCCAGAAATCTCGAGGCCAGTGCAGGCTGCAGCATCATCCAAGGCACTGCATGTGTCTCCCGCGCCAACTGGTTGACCCAAGGCGCTCATCACAAGCGCTATATGCAAAATGCGTTTTGCACTAACGGAATTGAAACCACATTTTCGAATCTGCTTGATTTCATGTGAAACTACCTCACATTCAAGTGTATTGTCATACACATCTTGTCCTATCAAATCGTTGCTTTCTTGGTCAAAACTGCCACAAAGGTGCATGAGAAGTTTCATACGGTCACAATGCAATCGTTTTGTACCAATATCTGAAACATTCCATTTCGTGGGAATCGAATTCACCTGAACAATGCCTTCTTTCACATAACCCTGGACCCAAAGGGCACGAGTTGAGAGGTGGCGCACTTTGCCCACTCCTTGGCGTTTCAAGATCTGCTTGGCAGCAGAATTGTCGATGTAAAGCTTCAAAACAAGTGTCTCGAGGCTCAGGGCAAAACAGAGGCACACTTTCAGGAGCAATGCATCACAGCATGCGGAAACAGCACTGTATAATTCGGCCTCAGCCGATGAAAGAGCAATCACCCTTTGACTTCGACTCGATGAGTGCAGCAAGCACCCGTGGAAGAAAAGACAACACGCACTCACAGACTTCCGTGTTGCTTTGTGACTTGCCCAATCACTATCAGTGAAAATATCCAACACGTTCTCACTCCCAACATAATGATACACACCATACTCTTGCTTGAATCTCAAACAAATTGCTTGATCTGTACACCCAAGAAGATACTGAACGAGGTGTCTCAAGAACAACATACTGTTTCGTGTTCAATGCGCCATGTACTGTGCAAGTGCTCGAATCACATGCTGACATTCTACGAAATCTATAAAGATATATAGAAGTACACCTACGGCGGACCTATATGTTTTGGCATCTTTGGCACTCAAAGGCTCAGATTCATCTATCTCCAAGATTGGGATGACCTGGGACTTTCTTCGGCTTGAGGTGGTGACCAATCTTCAGGATCTCAAACAAATGTTCCAGATGTTTGGGGTGTCCTTGAATTACCATCTCAAATTCTGATTTCAGCACATGCGTTCTCTTCAAGAAGCATATTTCATCGTCTGGCTCTTTCATGATCTCAACTGCTACTTTGTAGCGCGCCTCAAAGGTAGGAAGGAGTCTCTTCTTCAAGAAGTCCTCATGGACGAGACAAAGGATGTCGTCCACGTGCAACAACATCACGCATCGACCGCAACTGCTTTTCAACAAGCGCGGATAGGCAGGGCAAGGCTCTATACCTAGATCTCTATGGAGCAACTCAGTAATCGACTCATACCACAACTGGCTTCCATCTCTTTGCCCTGGGAGCACCTTACCAAGCGCATACTCACAAGATTGGCCAGAAGGCGTTTGCTGTGGCGCAGTGAGGAAAGCATCAGCAACATCAAGTGCAACAAGGACATACCCCTGTGAACGCCACTTCAAGTACAGCGTAGGCAAAACACGCGTGGTCAGGGAACTCGAAGCAGGAGAGAAAAGATCCTCACGCTCTGGTGTCAACCAAGCATACTCTCTAGCAACATACCGGGACCTTCGCAACCAAACGCGCTTGCCAGACAACCTCTTGTCACGCCACGTTCGAACAAATCTGGTGGTCAAGCGTTTGGGCGTCACATCACCTAAAGTCTCTGTTTTCAACAGCACACCTAAACTCTTCAATCTACTTAGTTCAACCTTGTCTGCAAGGATGTCCAAAGCAAGGAGAGCTTCATCTGACAATTCTGGTTCAAAAGGCGTGTATGGCACACTAAGCTCAACTAAGGCTGAAGCCACTTCTTCAGCAGACATGCACTCTGGGTCAACACCGTTCGAGGGCTCCAAAACGGGGGCGGTTTGAAGCTCGTGAAACTCATCTTCATAAGTTTCAAGCATTTCCAACTCATCACTCTCAAAATACCATTCAATCGTTTCGTCTTTATGCTCGAGTTCATGAACGGCCAACAATCTAGGCAACTTGCTAGGATGATCAACATCATCTTCAGCTAGACTACGTCTGTGTGTATGCGATGCAGCAAAGGAAGAAGAAGCTTGGCTCGAAACAGGTGGAACAGCGATACCGGCACTAGGCCCCGCCTCAACCGACATCGAAACATCCCCACTATCCGGTCCAACCGGTGAGGTCACAGGAGCTGAGCTGCCAACAAGAACAGGCCCAGACACATTGGCGTGAGGTCCAACCTCACTAGATTCCAACACTTGCTCATCAGGTGTTGGAGGAATACCAAGAACAAGTTCAGTTTCTTCATCAACTACACTTCTTCTAGGAACAGGAGCAGGTTCATCAGGAGTTGAAGGTACATCGCGTACAGCTTCAGCATCAGCATCAAAGCTGGGCAAAACAGGCAATGCAGTGGGTGCAGCAATGCGCTTGGCAAGAATGAGTTGGGAACCAAGTGAAGCATATCCAAAATCCCAAGGAACACATTCGACTTGGCTGATCATGTCTGCATCGAATGGCTTTACTCGGCGTCTAACACTGCGTGTCACAAACAACTTTGAACCAGGAGTGCTAAGAATATGACAATCATTGCTTTGAGTTTTCCCAAGCCACACACCTTTCGTCCATCGAGGGGCACCTTTCAAACTAGTTTTCAAGTATCCAAAAACAGTTTCTCCAAACATGCAAAGACGGCCTGTGTACATACGATCACAGCATCGTTCATAGGCAGTCTGCCCTTGGCGCACAGCAAAACGATTGTGAAGCCAACTTGCATGAAGGAGAGCCCACATGCAAATAGGATGTTGGCATCCAATGACATCAGGAAGTTCCAATGACTGCTCAATTTGATTCACCAAGAGGCCGGCATGTTGTCTCAAAATGTTCACTGTGGATTCAGCACCACCATTGGATTGGTGGCTGCCTGGAACCACAGTCTCAACAATCACAGAAATGCCTAATGCTCTGCACGTCTTACGCACAGCCTCCAGCAAGCTCAAACAGGAAGGTTCATTGTCACACCTAAGGCCAATTGTAGTGTGGCCCAGCCACACAATGAATCAAACAGGCTCTGTGCACAAATACTGTAATCTTCGACCACCTTTGGCATCAGTGGGAATCACGTGCATGGCCCGGTGTGCTTGTCATGGACAAATAGGCCACATATCTTCTCTTCATCTTCTTTTCTACTGGCATACCCAAAGTCAAAAGAAACAATCGAATGACCTGTCGCAGCCTCTGCCTTATCTTCACGTGGATGAATGTCCTGCCTAGCACGGCTCTGAACACACAAATCGCACGAGTTCATTCGCTTGGGGACGAATCGCTCGCCACTTTAGTAGCAGGCAAAAGCGCAAGGCACTGTTCCCAGCTGCCCCGGGGAAATAGCTTGTAAATTTACACCCACCTGCTCCAAGTCTCAATGACCCATGCTGGGGGCAGGTCAGGCATGCCTAGTATGGCGATCGGCAGCGTTTCCCAACCCTGCAACTCCAGTTCTCGTGAGGCTGCGCTCCAACCTTGGCCTTGCCAAAGGCATGAAACATGGCAGGGCGCATACGGTTGCGTGGCAGTGCACTGGCTTGGAAAAGGTGTTCCCCTGGCAATGACGTGACTGCGCAAGGCCCCGTTAGCATGGGGAGCACCGACAGTGTTCCCTGCTCGAAGGTGGCACGAGCCCAGCTGGTGAGCCAAGGAGTTCGCTCTCTCCCTTCGGGGGTGAGAGCCTTTGGATGGGATTGCCGCGGCCACTTGATTGTACCGCCAGGACCAAGTTCATCCGGGCTGGTGACTGGGCTGGGCCAAAAATGCTTGCACATGTATAATCCATACAAGGACCAGACCATGCACAGGTCAAGGGCAGTTTGCATCGCTATCCCGACAAATGGGGTGAACATAGTGCCACTTATGGCTGTGTCACTCGGATTGACAGGTGGTCTGGCTCTAGAAACCAAGGCAAGGCGGCATTCCTGGAGGCTCTTCGCCAGGGCCGCAGCAGTCGTTTCGTCGTGCAGTGGGCTGTGCTTGCTGCGGTTGCCTATCGAAATAACCAAACCTGCATTATATTCCAGATGGGCCTCTGTGAAGAGCAGCATGCCAATACCCGCACAGGAGCTGGACTCAGATCGCACACACCCAATTAGGTCAACCCACTGGTGCTGTTGATGCGCCAGCTGGAGTGGGTCTTGCACTTCAAGAAGCGTGACTGGTGCAGTCATTGTCAATGAGTGCGAAGTGTTGAGCGGGGCACAGGAAGCGTGCTGCCTCGAGGACAAAAACCCCTGCCCAGTAGTATGGAATCTTGTGAAGGCCAGTAGTAGCATCTGCACAAACCCAAAGTATGTCAGTTGTCTCTTCTTACGGGAGGCCCACCATGCTGCAAAAGCCGGCCAATGAGGGACATCTGCCGGCATTCGGTTGTCCACTATTGGATAGATCATTTGATTGCTCATGATAAGATCTCGATGCAACATGAGTGTCTGAATAATGGCAGTCATATCAGGCAGGTCTCCCTATATGGCATATCCGTTGTCCTTTTTGGATGGCTGCGCACGGACATCTGAAAACACGAGGGTGGGTCGAGCGGAATCAAGGCCAAGAGGACTGCAAAGGGCATCATGCATTGCCATTGCTGCATGAGCCTCAGCCTCGGACTGTGTCACACTGGCCTCCGCACCCCTGGCAAAGTCGGCCTGACCATCTGCTACAAGCCAATCCCGGAGCTGTGGATGCCGACCCAAAGAAGAGGGTGCTGAAGACAACCCTCTGCTCGTGGTGGGAGTGCACACCAAGGACATTGCTTGTGACCGATGCCCCCAAATGCCGGATACTTC